GAAAACAGAAAAGTCCAATAAAAAGTGGGAGAAATATTTGAGCAGATACTTCACTCACAAAGATATGTGGGTGGCAAATAAGCACATAAAGGATGTTTGACATCATTAGTCATTAGAGAAATGCAAATTAAAATCACAATGAGATGCCATTACACACCCATTAAATGTTTAAAATCAAAAGGTCATTTGATCATACCAAATGTTGGTGTGGGTGAGGAGGATCTGGAACCCTCATACGCTGCTGGTGGGAATGTAAATACGGTACAACCATTTGGGGGAACTGTTTGGCAGCTTCTTAATAAGTTAACCATACTCCCGCCATATGACGCAGCCATTCCCTTCCTGGGAATTTACGCAAGAGAAATGAAAGCATAGACCATACAAAGACTTGAATACGCATGTTCAAAGCTGCTTTATTTGTAATAGTTAAAAACTGGAAACAATCCAGATGTACATCAACAGGCCAATGAATAAACAAATCGTGGTGTATTCATACAATAGAATACTATTCAGCAATAAAAAAGGAATGAACTATTATTGATACATGTGACAACATGGATGAATCTCAAAATAATTATTCTGAGTGAAAGAAGCAGAGAAAGGAGATTATATGCTCTATGATTCCATTTATATAAACTTTTATTTATTTATTTTTAAACTTTATTTATTTTTTGATTTTTTAAAAAAATTTTTCCTTTTTTTCCCCAACCCCCTCCGGGTACATAGTTGTATATTTTAGTTGTGGATCCTTCTAGTTGTGGCATGTGGGACGCCGCCTCAGCATGGCCTGGTGAGCGGTGCCATGTCTGCACCCAGGATTCGAACCGGTGAAACCCTGGGCCGCTGAAGTGGAGTGCACAAACTTAACCACTCGGCCACGGGGCTGGCCTCTATATAAACTTTTAGAAAATGCAAACTAATTTACAGTGACAGAAAGCAGATCAGTGGCCAAGGGATGAGAGGGCAGGAGAAAGGGATTACAAAGGGTTACTAGGAAACTTTTTGGGGTGATGGCTCGGTTCACTATCTTGATTGTGGCAATGGCTTCATGGGTGTATACATCTATCAAAACTTATCAAATTGTACACTTTAAATATGTGCAGTGTATTGTATGTCACAAAGCTGTTAAAAACAGGAAATTATAGTGCCTGGTCCATAACGCACTGTCTTGGGGAGTTTCAAGTGACAGAGTGGTCAGTCCCACTCAGAGGCTGGCCTCCTCCTGTAGTCTGCGGTGCTGATGAGGCCAAGACCCACCATGCCATCCTCACAGACCATTTTGTTTCCCACGAGATCTCCCATCCTTGTCTGCTGCTGGAACCTTTGGCCAGTCGATGGTAAGTAGGTCCTACCAGTCCAAAGGAGACTGAGAGAGAAAGTGAACCCACTGGGTGTGACCCCTCCCCCTGGTGCAACCTCTTTTGGGAACTCCTCGAAGCCAAAATCCTTCTATGAACTTCTGATAGCAGCATCCTCAGGGATGGACAGTGGATCAACTCGCTGACCTCTAGACAACGTGGTCCCTTCCTCTTCATCAGACCTTTCACAAACTGCCTTGAACCGTAACATTTCAGGTGCTTGCCCCACCTTCTCTGTTGGATTGTAACCTAACACATTTCCTTTTTGCCAGGGCTGTTGGGAAGCTCACAGTCAAGGCTGGTGCCCAGTTGTAGTGATTAACTCATCCCAGGTGCCTAGCACCAGGTACTTTCCTGCTCCGTTTAGCTGGTTTTTGTTGTTAATTGAAACCAACGGCATAAGTCTGGAACTCAGTGCTTCCAGGGGTGATGTTGTCCTTAGTGACCCCACCTCTCCCAGGTTTGCTCCCCCTGGATTCTCTGCCTGGTGCCTCAGGAACTTACCTCACTTTCTCAGAGTCAGAGGCTCATCTTTAACTTGTGGTTCAGTGAGGACAGCTGATCTGAGCTGGAACGGTCTCCTCCAGACATCTGGCTGCAGCTGAAATCGGCCGTCTCTCATCCTTCCTGACAAGGTCCAGATGATGTAAATTTCAAACTGTCCCGGGAGAACTGTGCTCAGCGTGGCGAAGGAAGGATTTCAGCCTTGGCCAAAAAGAAAAAAAAAAAAAAAAAAAAGGCAGGGTTATTTAAACCAAACTGTTTCATTTAAGTGTGTTAGTCTTTTAATGAGCTCCCAAGGAACCCATAAAAGGGGTTGGAGAATAAAACCAGAGGGCCCCACATAGTCAGAACCCATAAATAAGGACCCTCAGCAGTGGAGACACCCCACTGGTTTTCCATTTAATGGCCCCCTTTTTGTTCTTTCTCCTGCTGTGATCTAAGGATACAAGAATTTTGATGATAAAAAACCAGGTTAGCTCATGCTCTGCCAGTTCTCAAACAGCTTCGCCAGATCTCATGCCCGAAATGATGAAGTTTCAATTTTGGGTTTGGCATTTAAGGACCTACAGGATCTGATTCCAAGCTTCCTTTTCAATGACTTGCTCCCTGCTCTCTGTTGCGCATCCTGCGCTCAGGCTCTACCAGCCAACCCTCGGTAGCTTTGCAATTTGGCTCATCTTGTTCCTTCTGCACGGAAAGTCTGTCCCACTCCCATCCTGCCACTCTACCCTCCATCCAGTTTACAGAACTCAAATTCCTTACCTAACGAGGAGTGTAAGCTGCACCCCTCTGCTGCATGCTGGGAGGCACTTTGTTGCCCTAAGTTCATTGGCCCTGGGATAATAGGTAACTGCCTGTGTCTGCTTCTCCACAAGACCCTAAACAGCCAGAGGGCAGAGCCTGGCTGTGGACAGTTGCAGCTCCTAGTGCCTGGCCAGAGCCCTGGATGCAGGAGGCCCTTGTAATCCTTGGTTGTGGAGTGCCTGCCATGTTCTTCTTCCTCTTTTTTTAATTCAAGTTTTATTAATTCAAAATATGCCATACATTCACACTCAAAAAACACAAAAGAGTGAAAAGTCATTCTGTTCTCTAGCTGCCCACTTCCCTTCTTTGGAAACAACCAACATCAGCAGCTTTTTATGAATCTTTCTGGAAGTATACAGACATATATATTCTTCTCCTTTTTAAAAAAATAAATGGGGTCGTACTCAGTTCTGCAGCTTGCCCTTTCACTTTGTTATGCTCACATACACATATTTTTAAAGTTTGACCAATTGATTATTGATAACATTTAGGTTGTTTTCATTCTTTTGTTATTAAAAACAATGCTGCAAGGAATAATCTTGTATATCTGTCACATTCATGTGTATGAGTATTTACGTAGGAAGAATTTCTAGAAGTGGAATGGCTAGGTCAATGAGTGTGGGCACTTTTAATCTTGATCAGCTTTGCCTAATTGTTCCCCATGAAGAATGTCCAATTTTACACCCCCAAGTAACGTACTATAGGAACCTCTGTCCCCACACCTTTGCTAATACTCTGTGTTATCAAACTTTGACAAGTTCCATTAAAAAAATTAAAGTTAGATCTCATTTCAAGTGTGTGTGTGTGTAACAAATTCATGATCACCCCTTGGTTTGACAATCATTGAAGTTATCTGGGGGTGTTAACAATCTGAAGATTCTAACCCTGCGTTCACAGAGAGTATTCTTGTTTCACTCCAAGCATAATTAAGGAATGGGGGAGAAAAATGTCACGGAAAGCTGCTCTAATAAAGAGAGTTTACTTTTGTGGAGCAGGTTACAATTTTGCTTCGTTTTTGCTGGGAAGGATTCGCCCTGAGCTAACATCTGTTACCCATCTTCCTCTCACTCTTTTTTTCCTCCCCAAAGCCCCAGTACCTAGTTGTATATTCTAGTGGTAGGTCCTTCTAGTTCTTCTGTGTGAGCCACCACCACAGCATGGCTACTGACAGACAGGTGGTGTGGTTGCACGCCTGGGAACTGAAACCAGGCCACCTAGTTTGGCCAATGGATGTAGTGGCCAATGGATACATTCCTGTATTTTCAATTTAAAGCATAACAAGTAGGAGACACTAGATGAACACATGCTTTGCAGGTTGATGTTTTGGATAAAATTTTGAGTATCTCTTGATTATTTTAGGAAGGAGATCACTACAGAGTCAGAAAACAGTCTCTGAAATCTGCTCTATAGTCGTGTTGTGAGGACTAAATGGGATGATACTTGTAAAACTTTTTGTCAAAGTATCTAACACATAGTAATCACTGAATAACTGTCGCTATAGTTAATAAACACTATGTTGTTATATGTGGGGATGGCAGATTAAGGGGCTACTTGGGTGATATAACCTGCCTTCTTGGAGGTAAGGACTCTGGAGTCCAGTAAATTCTTCTCTAGCACTCATTAGCTGTGTGACTAGCCTCTTTGGCCTCAGTTTTCTCATCTGTAAAGTGGAAAAATAAAATCCAAGTCTCAGGGTTTGCCAGAAGCTTAAATGGGGTGATACTCATAAATACATGCTCACTACACATTCATTCTCTTCTCTCCTTCCAATCTGATGGAGGAGACATGGAAGAACCCATCACATAACGCAAAACCCTCAGGAAACCAGAGGAACCGAGATGAGGGCGACGAGGGAGAGTTACTTATGGCCACTGGGGAAAAAGTGATGGAGCGAGGAGCGATCGCGCAGCTTCCCCAAGCCACGCCCCCTACTCGACTCTGGAAACCCGGCCCCTTGGAAGCGGGGAAGCCCAGCGATCACCATGGCAACAGCGCTTTCCGGTCTGCCCTGCCCACCCCACTTCCGGTTCCGGCGTCATGCGTCATCTCCAGGCGACGGACGGCGGGTTTCCGGGAAAGGGGTTCCGGGAGGGGACGCCCGCTGGGTGCGGTCCCGGGCGGAGGGAGGTGGAGGGCGAGGGTCGCGGGGTTTGACCTCGGCGTCACGACCTGCTCCTGGGCACGGCGCAGCCATGGAGGGCGGAGGGCGGCCGTCGCTGGGCCAGGTCATCCTCCTGGGCACCAGCTCTGTCGTCACCGCCATCCTGTACTCCGTGTACCGGCAGAAGGCCCAGGTCGCCCAGGAGCTCAAGGTCAGTGCTGGAGCCGGCCTGGCATCTGCGGGGTCATCGCTACCCGGGGTAACCGGGAGCCCGCGATTCGTCCTGGGTCGCGCCACCGTCGGAAAGCATCCAGTAGGGAAACAGACTCTGAGAGGGCGTCGCCCGGCCAGTCGATGGAGGAGTGGGGATCCTAATTGGGGTCTCGAGAAAACTGCTTCCCTGCCCCTTTTCTTCGAAGTTCCTCTCCCTCCTCACAACGAAGCTTGACTTCACTACCTTATTCGACAAGTATTTATTGAACACCTGCTGTGCTCCAGGCTGTGAGGACATCGCATGGGTAGAACAGACAGAAGTCCCTGCCCTCAGGGAGCTTCCATTCTCCTACAGCCAGGCAGACAATAAACCAGTACATCAGATGGTGTGGTGGATGGGGATCAGTCCTGCAGAGGAATGCAGGGAAGAGAAGAGGTGGAATGCTGGAGAAAGGGACGTTTGCTGTTTTGAATAAGGTGTCATTTGAGCGGAGCCCGGGGGGGTGAGGAGGACCGCGCAGATGTCTGGGGAAGAGCGGTTCAGACAGAGGGAACAGCAAGAGCCGAAACCCTAGACTTTACCCGTTTAGTAACCATCTTGCTCCTTGCTTCTGTAGACTCTTCCTTTTTATATTATAGTTATTTTTAAAATAACACTCTCTTGAGCTGCACTTTGCAACTTACGCATTTCCTTCTTGTTATTTTTTTCTTCACGATAACTTTTTGAGGTGGATAAAATGGCAGTTACCTCCAGATTGCAAGTCAGGAAATGGAGACTCAGAGGAAAGTTCTTACGGCTAGGCAGGTTGGAACTTAAACTTAGATCTTCTGATTGCGGGTGTGGGTTTTTTTCTGATTGACCACATAGCTTTGTTGTGGGTGTCTGACCAGCCAGTGAGAGATGGACCTCTTTAGGTCAGAGACAGTCTTGTTTATCCTCCTCCCTTCCTTCTAGGTTCTAACTCAGTGCTTGACAAGTGGTAAATGCTCAATAAGTGTTTGTGGATTCCTTTTGGCTGAAATTTCACAATGCAACAGTTAGGGCTCAATTTGACATTTATATGAAAGAAAGATTCCTCAACCGGACTAACTTCATTATCATCAGATTGTTTTCAGTAAGAGCTTAGAAACAAATGTGTGCGATCCTGCCGTGAGAGGAGCTTTGGAATCTGTCTGGAATGATCCAGGTTACCGAGCAGTTGAATTTGTGGTGCGAATGGCATCCTAGTGAGATTCCAGCTGCCCTGTTGTTTGCCTAATGGAATAAGCGAGTTACCCCTGAATTGATTGGCTTTGAGTGTCACTGATATGTCACTTTCTGCTTCTGAAAGTCAGAAATCAAGTTGGCAGCAAATCGGCTGAATGTGTGAACTCCCCAGGACCCATCTTTGGGTGACCTTAAAAACCTTGCCTATGAGTTCATAAATGAGGATGAAATAGCCCCTTCCTGGAAAAAGTTGGGACTCCTAATATTTTAGATTCTGTTTTTTGTTTTTTTTTTAAAGATTGGCACGTGGGCTAACAACTGTTGCCAATTTTTTTTTCTTTCTGCTTTATCTCCCCCCCCACCCCACCCCGTACACAGTTGTATATCTTAGTTGCAGGTCCTTCTTGTTGTGGGATGTGGGACGCCGCCTCAATGTGGCCTGATGAGCGGTGCCATGTCAGCGCCCAGGATCCGAACCCTGGGCCGCTGCAGCGGAGTGCACGAACTTAACCTCTCGGCCACAGAGCCGGCCGCTAGATTCTGTTTTCTTGATCAGGTTATGAAACTTCCAGCATGAGGTTTGTGTGTTATCCTTGTGTATCTTTCATAGTGATAGGAATGCATGTTTATTGCATACCTACTATGTGCCAGCCCTTGGGCTGGATTCTTTCACACTTTAAGGTTCATTTAATCCACATGAAAATCCTGTGAGATTGTTTTCCCCATCTTTTACAGTTTTGGAAACTGAGACTCAGATAACAAGTTGCTCAAAGTCGTAGTAGATGCGTTGAAGCTCGATTCAAACCCAGGTCTTTCTGACCATATTCCCCTTCCTTCCCTTTTTAAAAATTGTAACTGGCTTTCTTGTGGTGGATACTTTACTAGCTGTGTGACTTTGGGCAAATCACTTCACCTCTCTGAGCCTCAGTTCCCTTATCTGTAATTGGGGATAATAATGTCTACTGTATGAGCAGTAAATGGGTTTGTGCATTTAAAGTGCTTAGCATAGTTCCTGGTACATAGTGTATGTAAGTGCTTATTTCTTCACTAATTTACTCACCAGATACGTGCTGAGTGCCTGCTGTGTCGGGCACTGTCCTCAGCACTGTGGGGACAGCAGTGAACAAGACGAACAGGGTCCTCGCCCTCCTGGAGCTCAGCAGTGCGGTGGAGGGAGCGGATAAGAAAGCAGGAAATGAACTGTTAGTCGTTGTTGCTGTTAGTTTCATCCTCGCGGTGTGGGTGGTTACTGAACTTTTGTTGACCTTGGTTCCGTATCTACTGTGTAGCAGTAGCTTAAACTTAGAGTGACCTTGACATGTATCCAGTCCCTCATCACTCTTTAGAGCTGACTGACCAGGCTTAAGCTTTGTTGATGGGAATGCCCCGAAAGCAGGGGCGGGCTTTCCTTCCTCCCTGAATTCCTGGCGCCCAGCACAGTCCTGGCTCATGAACTAGGAAATAAATGGTCCTTGATTTTATTAATTTTTGCTTATTTTTGATGCAGGACTAACAGGCTTGGTTGGTTGCCAAGCAGAGCAGTTTGGACACTGAATTGAAGGGATGGGAGATCTGGGGATTCTTAGGGGAAGATGGCAGCAGAAATAACCTCGCTCACCTGATTCTGAGAGGGAAGAAAGACAGACTGAAAAGTAGAAGAAAAGCGTTTGGCAGCAGGTCACAGAGCCTTGCCCTGTAACGCAAAGGCATATGTTACTGTGTTACATAGTGTATGATGCAGCACATGAATTGATAAAGGCGTGGTGGCGATAATTCCTGCCCTCGCCTGGGCCCCTGCCGGGTAGGCGCTAGTTTAGGTACTTTCCACATAAGCCCTTGGATGCACGGTTCTGTGTTGGCAGAAGAGATTCACTTATGTTCAGCCTAACCACCCAGCTCCTTGCTTCTGTGGACTCTTCCTTTTTATATTATAGTTATTTTTAAAATAAAACTCTCTTTCTGCAAATTGATTAGTACCTTTTATATTTTCATTAAAAAAAGTTAAAATGCAAAGGAGTGTATGTTTCGGTTAACCAGAGGAAGAATGTACGCGTGGCGCCGCCATTCTGCAGCCGGCGGAGAGCAAGGCGCTGCCCCTGCCTGTTTATGTGTCAGCTTCTGGGACCCAGCTTCGGAATCCGACTCCCCTTAGTCTCCTTCCTGCGTGATTTCCTCATTCTCTCAACGTGAAAAAAGCCAATAGTCTTTTCCTTTTTTGCCCTTCAAGTTTGATGGAGCGTATCGGTATTCAACAGGCAATTGAATATGTTGTTTGTGTTTAGGGAGCCAGAAGAATCCACTTGGGTGAAGACTTGAAGAGTATCCTTTCGGAAGCTCCAGGAAAATGTGTGCCTTATGCCGTTATTGAAGGTATGTTTGTGTATTGGTAAAATGAAAAATAACTGCCTTCTTCCAAAAGTTTGATAAGGATCGTCTTGGCTGATGTTAGGGGCCTTTTGTAGCCTTCGGACAGTGGCCCAGAACTTGGACTTTGGGGTCAGAAAGACCTGGGCTATTGCTGTGTGATCTTGGGGAAATTACCTGACCTTTCTGAACCTCCATTGCCCGTCTCTAAAATAATTCCAACCTACAGGGTTGTTGTAAAGCTTAAATGTTGTGATCCATGTAAGGTGCTTACATGGTGTCCACAAGACATAAGTTATGGTGTCCACAAGACATAAGTTATGGTGATAACGTTTCCATTGTTTTAATTAATTAAGCTAACTCAAATTAAAAGCAAAATTTAAATTACCTTAAAGGAAACATTAGAACAATTCTTCAGAAATAAATTTATTTCTATTTAGGAGTTGTTCGATCTGTTAAAGAAACACTGAACAGCCAGTTTGTAGACAATTGCAAGGGGGTAATTCAGCGGCTGACACTGCAGGAGCACAAGATGGTGTGGAATCGAACAACGCACCTTTGGTACGTATCCTTTCTCCACTGGGCTAAAACCTTACAGTGGGGCGGTTCCAATGCTGGTGTCCTGGGTGCTCTTTCCCAGTCTGCGGCTTCTCCTGAGGCAGGGCGTAGACCAGCCTCTTAATGCTGATAATATGCTTGTGTGTGGTCTGAGGACCTCTTACGTCAGAATCACCCAGGCATCCCGTTCAACTGCAGCTTCCTGGGCTCCATTCCAGACTTACCAAATCAGAATTTCCAGGATGGGGGGCCCAGAATCTGTTGACATGCACACTCCAGTTTGAGAGCTGCTGATTTATGGCATGAATTAATGATTTCGGTAGTTGTTAAAATAATTTTGTGCCGTTACTTGGAGTCCCTTTTTCCAGCTGATCTTTGTGGGGTTTTGTTTTGGATTTTTATTTCGTTTTATTTTTTATTGTGGTGAGAACACTTAACATGAGGTCTACCCTTTTAACAAATTTCTAAGTGCAGTAACACAGTCCTGTTAACTATAGGTACAAAGTTATCCAGCAGATCTCTAGAATTTATTCATCTTGTATAGCTGAAAATTTATCCCCATTGACCAGCAGCTTCCCACTTTCATCTCCCCCCAGCCTCTGGCAACCATGATTCTATTCTCTGTTTCTCTGAGTTTGACTGTTCTGTTGTAGATACCTCATGTAAGTGGAATCACGTAATGTTTGTCCTGTCACTGGCTTAGTTCACTCAGCATAACGTCCTCCAGGTTCATCCATGTGGTTGCGTATGGCAGGATTTCCTTCTCTTGAAGGCTGGCTAATGTTCTGTTGTGTGTCTATACCACGTTTTCTTTGTCCATTTATCCGTCAGTGGGCATTTAGATTGTTTCCGAGTCTTGGTTATTGGAGTAATGCTGCGGTGAACACAGGAGTGTAGATATCTCTTCGAAATCCTGTTTCAATTCTTGTGGATGTATACCCAGAAGTGGGATTGCTGGATCGTATGGTAGTTCTATTTTTAATTTTTTGAGGAATTGGATATTTCTTTTAAGTGGCAAAGGGAAATAAGTGGGAGAAGTGATCTGTGACAGCATTTGTTGCGCACTGATGCTGTCTGAGAACCTAGAAACTGGAGCTTCCCTCTTGTGAGGCACTTGGGTAATAGTGATTTCTCTTGTGTTCTTCCACTTACGTTGGACTTCCTCCTGTCCTCCTGGCATTGAGGAGATCTCCATCACTGCCTGGTGTGAGGTGTTTGCTGTCCTCTGTTTTATCTTGAGTTCTCTTCCTGTTGTAGGAATGACTGTTCAAAGATCATTCACCAGAGGACCAACTCGGTGCCCTTTGAGCTGGTGCCCCACGAGGACGGTGTGGACGTGGCCGTGCGAGTGCTGAAGCCGCTGGACGCGCTGGATCTGGGCCTGGAGACCGTGTATGAGAAGTACCACCCCTTGGTCCAGTCTTTCACTGATGTCATTGGCCATTACATCAGCGGTGAGCGGCCCAAGGGTATCCAGGAGACTGAGGAGATGCTGAAGGTTGGGGCCGCCCTCACAGGCGTCGGCGAGCTGGTCCTGGACAACAACGCCGTGCGCCTGCAGCCCCCCAAGCAGGGCATGCAGTACTACCTGAGCAGCCAGGACTTCGACAGCCTGCTGCAGGGGCAGGAGTCGAGTGCCAGGCTCTGGAAGGTCCTGACGCTGGTGTTTGGCTTTGCCGCATGTGCTGCCCTCTTCTTCATCCTCTGGAAGCAGTATCTGCAGCGGCAGGAGCGGCTGCGCCTGAAGCAGATGGAGGAAGAGTTCCGGGAGCACGAGGCGCAGCTGCTGAGCAGAGCCAAGCCTGAGGACAGGGAGAGTCTCAAGAGCGCCTGCGTCGTGTGTCTGAGCAACTTCAAGGCCTGCGTCTTCCTGGAGTGTGGGCACGTCTGTTCCTGCGCCGAGTGCTACCGCGCCCTGCCGGAGCCCAAGAGGTGCCCCATCTGCAGGCAGCAGATCACCCGCGTGGTCCCCTTGTACAGTAGCTAACGGTCTGCCACCCCTCAGCTAGGATGGAAGGCCCCCCCGCCCCCATCCCTCTGCAGGGATCTTAATCTCGAGGCCTTTCGAAGAGCAGTGGTGGGGCTGCGTTACCTCCAGGCAGGACTGTGATTGAGGGGGGCGGCAGGGAACCGTCCAATCTCACAGCTCGGACAACAGGATGTTGCCTCTCCAGCCTGGGAGGGGCCGCTTTCCAGCACAGCATGAGAATCAAAGCCCCACCCTGGGGTGGGCGTGGCCACCTGGCATCCCTTCCTGGGAACCAGCTAAGTGTGTGTGACTGAGAACATCTCATTGCTTAAGCGCCAAAGCCAATGATCTTCAGCTCTTCTGTTCCTGTGTCTTCTGGTTCTTTCTGGTGAATTGTTGATTCCTGTGGACTGGAGCCTTGAATGACTCAGCTGGAGGGGAGGCAGGGTTGGGCTCTGAGTGTGGTGTGTGCCTCGCAGAGCTGCCTCTGAGGAGACTGTCATGGTCTCTCTTCCTTTTGCCTATGCCCCAGGAAAACGTTGTCCGGCTCAACATGTCACTCGTACCCCTTTCCCCTCACCTGCTTGCCTCCTAAATGCATACGTATGTATGTCAGGACAAAAACAAGTGGACTCCAGCATCTGCCTTCTATCTGAAAGGGTGGAACTCTGGTCAGCAGAAGGAAGAATGGTCACTTGAAGGGGCAGTTGGAATGGTGGTCATTCAGCGGTCCCCAGCAGCGGTGAAGACTGGGCAGCTTGGCTGCAGCCCTCCTGGTGTCCCCACTGACCTAAAGGGAGGGCCCCTAGGCATGCCTCTGGCCCTGATTTGGAACTCCCGAGGCCTGAGGGCTGAGGGATGGCTCTGCTTTCCCCTGCCTGAGGTGAGCAGAAAGGCCTCACCACCCGAAGGAAGCAATAAGGACCATAAGGACGCTGCTGCCCAGCCTCCTGGCTTTCTCAGCTTCTCACTAAGGAAAAGTAGCCAGCCAGCATCCTGAGCACGGAGTGTTCCAGGCTCCCTCCCCCTCCTCTGAAAGTTAACATCCCATGGGTGTGGTCATGTTGCCCCTTCTCAAGTTACTGTCCCCCCTCCCCCCATCCCCCCCTCTTGAGTTTGTGAGCCGAAGAGAAGTGGGGGATCCTCTTTCAGCACCTCTGAACAGTCAAAGGTCGTGGACGTAGCTCTTTCTTATTTCCCTTCCCTGGCTTTGACTGTTCATCCCCCGGTCCTCCTTTGTGCGGGGGAGGTGGGGGTGCTCTCAGGGGGCTGACACCAGCTCTATGCAGTGTCCGGCATGGACAGCACCAATTAAACTGGTGGAACCAAGTCTTAGCCTGCTGCTTTGTCACCCGGTGTTCAATGGCTAGGCCGAGGCATCCCCGGGATGGAGTTGACTCCCACCATGACAGAACGAGCTGAGGTCCTTGAGGCCTCTGTGTGTGTCCTCAGAGGGGTGGTTGGGGCTGCCCCAGATGGTGTGCAGCTTGGCGATGCCGAGGTCTGGGGGAGGAGTCTCCGGCCAGCCCAAGAGAGGGCCATCCCGGAGACGTGCCCATAGATCACGCCTGGCCTCGCTAAGATGTCGTCTCAGCATCTTTGAAGAAGTCTGTCCTGACGTCCTGACCAGAGGGCCAGGGAGAGAGTGGGGTGGGGGTGGGGTGTTGGGGGCAGCAGGGAGGGAACTAACATTTAGCTTGGTACTATATGCTCTTCAAACGTTAATTCAAGGTGAGTGGGTTCTCACAAAACCCCTGCAGGCTCTCGTGGTATCTGCATTTTACAGATGAGGATCAGCCCAGAGAGGGAGTTCTCAGGGCTGAGGGCACACTGCTAGCAAATGGTGGCTCTGAATTTCATCTCCAGGCTGTTAGCAAAGCTCCAGATCCTCTTGCTCGCCAGCAGTGGGGCAGACTAATTCCCTCAGTGCTCACAGGAACACCCCCCAAGATGCTTGTTCCCCAAGTTCGCAGAGGAACAGGCCGAAGTTGTGGTGAGAACACACTTGCTAATACTGAGTCCTGTCCGGGGAGGCGTTCAGACCCTAGTTTGACACAGAGGTGCCTTGGGGGTGGGGCAGGATGAGGGTGGTTGATGGGCCTGACCTCTGAGCACCTTGAAGGCATCTGCCCTTTTTCGTTGTCCCTCGGCAGTTACTGTGTAAGAGTCCAGGTGTTAGTGGGAGAGGAGGGAACTGCCCGTGGGGGTGTATGTGATAATCTATCAGAGTTCGGCCCTTGCCGTCGATTTCAGGAGCAAATTGGATCAAAGTGATTGGAAAGAAGGGAAGGCCGCCTGCCCTACCCTGGCCCAACTCGGATCCCGGGCAGACTTTAATTCTGAGTTACCACCATGGGAGACAGGAGCAGCACGCTGTCCTGTCCCTGCCTCAGGAAGTGGCAGCTGCTTGGGAACGAGGACGTGCAGCTTCCCGGATTCTGGATTTGACGTCCAGGCTCGGTCCTAGACTGGCTGGGGCTGAGACTCAACGTTCTTGTTCACCTGTGGCAGGCCCCACCTTCCTTTTTAGAGCCTCATCTCCGGGAGGGTTGAATGGGGACCAAGTCTGGGAGTGGGGGCGACAGGGAGATGAGGAAGTATGAAGTCAGTTCTGAACTGACCTTGGGATTTCTGTGAATTTTGATGCTTTGCTAAGAACCCCCTTGTGCTCAGTCGCTTTAATCCTAGGCCGCGTTAGGCATCACCATCTTGCATAACTGCTCCTGGTGTTTTGAATGTCTGTGCGCGGCATTTTGTGTGCATTACTGCTTGTGGTCCTACAAAGTGGATATTGTTCCCCCCCACTTTACAGGGGAGGACAGTAGGCTCAGCGGGGTTACATTTTGCCTACAGCCACGCGTCATCATGAGCCAGGCACCTAAGTTCTTTACAAGTGTCATTTCTAAGACTTACGGCAAACCATCACGGGAGGCCCATTCACCCCTCCTTACAGCTTATGTGATTGCTCAAGGCCACAGAGCTCTGACTGTAAAGCCTACACCCTTTGCCATTTATCGCATTAAGCCTGAGAGGCTAAGACGGGAGGTGGTCCGAGAGGCAACTGAGTATTATCAAGACACCCAGCACCTGAGATCTGCGGTCCCACCCTGGTTTCCCAGACAGCAGGGGGACGCTTTCAGGTTCCCCAGCTCATCCCGGTGGAGCAGGAGCTGGAAGGCAGGTCTTGGGAATCCTAATTCACTCAGAATTATGATGGAAAATTCAAAAAGCAAACAACCACAACGTGACAAAGTAGGCCAATCGGTGACACCCTTCCCGACCCTGGTCCTGGGCCGTGGGAACTCCAGTTGGGGTTGAATCTGATGCTGGTGATCCCACAGTGCCTCTGGAATGCTCAGAGGAGGAGCCTGTCAAGTCGGTATCACTGATGGGCATTTATCCATCTAACAGCCATTTGCTAAATGTCTATTCTGTGCCTGGAGAGGGAGAAGTGAATAAGACACGGTCCCTGCCCTCAGAGGGCCGGGACGTCTTCTAACGGATCCTAATTGTTCGAAAAGGAATAAACCTTCTTGGGGAGGTGTGGTGACTCTCGGTTGCTGGGAATATTTGTGGTTCCCAGAATATAGGAGCCGGGAGGGGCCTTTGAGATCAGCCTGCAGATTCCCTGACCATTCGAAATAGTTGATCCAAGGGCAGTGTATCATTGCTGAAGGGGAGCCAAGCAGAGAACACATACCCCACAGAGCCTGAAATGACCTATTTCAAACACCTGCCTGACCACGTCCCCCCTCTGCTTGAGGCTCTTCCCTGGGCTCCCCGTCATCCCCAGCCTCAGGCCCTGGCTCCTCTATGGCTTCTGAAGGCCTGTGTGACCCAGCCCCGGCCCCTCTCCAGGCCTCTCTGCATCCCTCCAGGTCTCCCGCTTGTGGTTCCAGCAACACGGAGCTGTTGAGTTTCCTTAAACATGTCCTGCTGTTCCCTGCCTCACAGCCTTTGTCCATGCCAAGTCCCACCTCTGGAATTCTGGTCCTTTCTTCACCTTGCTAACATCTCCTCACACTTTAAAACCCAACTTTAGGGGCAGGCCCAGCGGCACAGCGGCTACGTTCACACGTTCCGCTTAAGGGCCCAGGGTTCACTGGTTCGGATCCCGGGTGAGGATGTATGCACTGCTTGTCGAGCCATGCTGTGGCAGGCGTCCCACGTATAAAGTAGAGGAAGATGGGCATGGATGTTAGCTCAGGGCCAGGCTTCCTCAGCAAAAAGAGGAGAATTGGCGGCAGGTGTTAGCTCAGGGCTAATCTTCCTCAAAAACAAACAACAACTCAGCTTTAGATGTCTCTTCCAGAATACCTTCCCTCACCTTCCATACCTAGGCCAGCTTAGGTGCCCATCCTCTGAGATTCCACAACCTGCCTATTCCTGCTCTTCGCCATATTGCCCGTGTCTTGGGCAGGAACTGTATCTTATTTCTTTTCCTTCTCCAGGACAAGTTTCAGGTCATCCCATACACTAATTAGAGCTGACATTAGGGCTGCTCTTTCCTAGGTGCCCACTAAGTGCTGTGCGTGATTGATGGCATTTAATCCTCACCATGAGGTATGTGTTTGTATTGTTCTTACCTTAAAGAAAAGGAAACCGAGGGCCAGAGAGGTTGGATGTCTTGCCCAAGCACAAGAGAGAGACAGGATTTAAGCCCAGTCAGTCTGACTGCAGAGCCTAAACTCTTAATCACTGAAGATACGTGGAATGAATGAGTAAACTAGCAAATGAAATAGTCGATGTGGGGCCAGCAATCCTGGAAGGCTGCCTGGACGAGTTGGTTTTTGGACCAGAGATGAGGGCCATAACTTGGTTGTAAAGAGTGAGGGAAGAGCCTCTGTTAGGGAGCCAAGATGGATGAATTGTGTAGGAGAAACATCACGTCCAGTGACCTGTCCAGAGCTTTGAGGACTCCACACAGGAAAGTCAGGGCAATGTCATCGCAGGGTCGTAAATGGTCTGGACTGGGAGCCCAAAAGCTGACTTTCTCTCCGGTCCTGGCTCCACTGCTGTGTGCCATTGGATTAGAAGCTCCAAGGCTTCATCCCACTCTGCCATTTTGCATCTCTATGACAGCGAGTGGAGGAGGGACCCTGGAGCGCAGTTTTGAGGCCCTCCTCGGGGCTGCTGGTCGGAGAGATGAGATGTGGACCCTCCTCGGGCTAGCTGCCCGCCACAGCCTCTGGACTGCATCTCAGAAAGCTGGGGAGATCAGCACATTTTCTCTCTAATTAGATAGTGTTAGCTTATCAATTTTGAATGAGATAAGTTTCCATTGATGATGTCCTGAATTGCTCCCCGGAGTGCTCATTAGTCACTTCCCCTGCAGCTGCCTTATTGTTTTCCAGCCGAGGGACCTGGCATTTCCCTTCCCCAGGAATGGGACACATGAGGCCGAGCCAGCGACACTGGCATTGGTCAGAGGGGCTGAGCAGGCCTGGGAGAGGGCCTGCCTGGTGAAATGACATGGCCCTCTGCTCTTGACCTTCATGCTTTGTCTCTGGCAGAGCCAATGTCTCACAGTAGGCACCCCAAATCCAGATTCCTCCGGGACTGGGCCACGACTCTGGAGGGCCACAGCTGAGCTCAACAAGCATTTATTAAGTACCTGGTGTGCCAGGCACCTTGTATCTGTAACCCGAATGTTCTCTAGCCTGGGGGAGGAGGTACAAATGAGGTCATATAAATATTAATGTCCAACTTGGCATCACTGCAGGCTTCGCATCCCCTCATAGTCTTTCCTGGTTATTTAAGGTGCTTCACAGGGTGGGGCTTCAGACATACTTGCAATATGTTGACACCGTCTTCGTTTCTTCCTACCCTTCCCCACCCTGGGACCCATGATGGGATCCCTCCTAATACTGCAATCTCTACTCTTACCGCCAGGTGGCGCTGTGCCCCCATGGTTGAGGCAGCCTGGAGGCCTCGGAAGAGAAACTAGGGTTGTGCTTCCAAAGGCCTGTGCAATTTCTCTTCCCTGTGGGGCGGGGAACAGGCCTGGGAGGCCTCAGGGCAGAGTCTGAGGACTACCTGAGTCTGCTGATCCCAGGAGCAGCTGGGCACAGCCTGGAGGGGCAGACGCAGGAATTTTCTCTCCAGTTCCTTCCTTTCTCTGCCCAACTCACCAGGAAGCTGGGTGCAGATGTGAAAGTTTTGAAAAACCCAGAAAATTCAGGGGGTGACCTATCCCACATTTCTCCCCCTATAATTTTCCAAGCATTCACATCTTTAAATATACTAACCATGATTTCTTTCAACAAAAACTAGATATGCATAATGCGTCACATGTTCTTAAAATACCCCGATGACTTCACACTGGTAAA